CTAAACTCACGGAATGCTATTAGCAGGAATGATCCCTACACTGTAGCTTAACACTTGGGCTCATATTGGCCGTGCTTTGGCCCTTCCCAGCATGCAGGGAGAAGGGCACCAGTTGGATGAAGGTGGTGCATTATAGAGCCACACGGACTTCCAGATACATGATTACCAGTTTTTTGCATGAAGCCTGATCGTTTTTCCGGTTAATACTCGCTTTTTGAAAAAATGAAAAATGCAGAAATTTCAGTTTTTCAAGGGGGCATGTTGTTAGAGCGACCGTTCGTCGAAAAATCCAAATATTTAAATGAATTGGATGTTGAAAGAGGATGGGGGCGGTTGTTCGCTGCAAAACGCACTTATTTTTGATTTTTCGGTAAATTTGAGTATTTCTCATGCCTACCTGCAGGGGATTCAACCCCCAAGCAGAATTCAGACTGTACTTGAGGGTAGAATATTCCAGCGAGTTTTCAGCTTCGCAACTTGTGCGGTAAGCGGAATATCCACTTTGCTACAAATATTTTTGAAGTGCTCTAACTCGTGACGCAAGTGCAATTCGGTGCTCATTTTGAGCAAATTGTTTTCTATGTGGCCGACAAACATGCTGACAAATTTTAAACCACGGTTTTCCGGCTAGTTTTTGAATTAGCATAGTTCCAGGTGCAAATCTTGACGCGGCCGTACACGCTGCACAAGCGTGCACAATGACTGAACTTCATGTCTTTAGCTTACACAAGCGTGTAGAATATCCCAGCAAATTTTCAGCTTTCTGTCTTGCCTGGTTCCCAAAATCATCTCCCGCTAAAGAAATTTGCATATTTTCTTCGGGGGTCCGTACGCAAGATTTAGGCGTGTATAAGTGAAGATTTTAAAAAGGGAAGTTGACATACGGGGTGGGAATATGTCCGCAAAATTTCAGCCTCCCAGCTTTCCTGGTTGCTGAGTTGAAAGTGAATGACAAAGTTCACTCATTTCCGAATACATGCACACATAGACGACCTCTTGACTATGCGTTTTTGCTTGCTGTAGCGCTGCACAGCAAAAACTTTTAATAAAAAGTAATATGAAAAAAGCTGGGAAAGCAAAATCATGACCGAAATTGATGCTTGTAGTAACATCACTATTATGATGGCTGGAACTGCACTGAAAAGATGGGAATTCTCTTGTTCTCGCTTCTGGTGCCAGAGGTGCAAAGAATTGTACGTAACATATACGACAGAAAAGTATAGAGGGTGATTCGGATAAAGTGGCAAATTAGCATTTAGAATTTAACGACGCAGCGTGGGAAAATTTTCTCAAAGAAAAGTTATTTAGGTTAGATAGCCGATTATAATGAATCAGCATTTTCGTTTGAAACTATTGGTGTCATTTATTTTCACCCTAAGAATTCACTATGCTCCTTTAAAACATTGATGAAATGCGAAAATGCATATCGGCGAGAGATCACCGATGTAGGTATGTATGTGTATGCGTGTGTTTGTGCGTGTGTGTTTGTGTGTGCGTGTGTGTGTGTGCATGTGTTCGGTTTTTGCCACCTGCTTTCAGCCCCTGCAGTGGAGAAGCAAGGAAATCAATGTGGGGATGTATTCGGTCCACGTGTAATCCCACAGCGTAAAATCAGCTCACATTCATGCTTCTCTTACTTGGGACGTCTAAAACAAAAACAAAAAAGTTTTAGCGGGAAATGATTTCGATTACCAGACAGTATAGGAAGTTAAAATTTTACGTCAGTCTTCTCTGTTCTTGTGCGAACTAAAAAATTCAGCTTTCGCGTACGCTCGCATCATACATATGGACATGTCGGACATTTGGCTGACCGATCAACCTCGGAGACTAAAATTTTCACGATAATTTCTCTAAGGTTTTAAATTCAGTTCTGAAACACGCGTGGAATAAAGTTTAAGGAACTGTTGACAGTCTTTTGATTTTTGTGCATTTTTTGCAGCAATGCAATGCGAAAAACGCATACTGACGAGAGGTTGTCTGTGTGTGTTCTGTGTGCGCTGGGCCTCTGTACCGATTTTTCATCTCGAGACCGGCAAAAAGCTACGGGGCTGAAACTTTGGAGACTTAATCTACATGCACGTACGGGCCCCTATCCCCAAAA